TTGCTGCCTTCATTGTTTTTTGGTGGGGCAGGGGTGGGAGAGAGCTGGTCTGTAAACTGAGGAGGTTGTTTGGATGATCTCCACGGACTCTTCTGGCTCTCACTTTCTATGATGCTGTGACTTTAGGAGGTGGCATTTGATCTGGACTTTGGAGGGTGGGGTGATTTTGACAGGCTATATTGTAAATGAAGGGTAAAGGTATTCCAGGTGGTGAGGACAGTTTGAGCAAGAACACAGTGGCTAATAGTTAGAGAAAGAATTCTGGGAACTCTTGGTCTGACAAAACTTGAGTTTTATCCTGCAGAAGACAGTAGGGGTGAGGGGGGTCTGGCACTGAGCTGAGGGAGGCCTGGAAGTTATGATTAGAAGCTAGGAAGTTTTTTTTTGGAATTATAGGATTTGTAAAGTCCTTGGTCTTTTCTCTAGCATCCCTGTCCAGTCATCAGCCTCTGTCTATGTGAACAACTCCAGTGGTGGGAACTCTAAGCCGTTTATTCCATTTTCAGACAGCTGTAAGTGTAAGAAAATTCTTATATATGTTGACTTAAGATTTATTGGTTATAGCTGTACTTTTTCCAATGTGTAGATAATGGAAGGTCATTGGAAGATTTTAAGTGGTAGAGGAACATGCTCAGGGATATGTAACCCATGGACCTCAAGTAGAGCTGTGGCAGAACTTATTTAGTATTTACCCCAAAGGAATAGAAATTTAAAGAGGTTTTTAAGGCATCCCTTTCGTGAAATATATATTGCACACTTAGGAAAGGTCAGTCACTGACCCAGAATCTAGAGATAAGACAGAATTTCTGTTCTCACACTCTTCTCAGGCTAATCATAACTTATAGTAAACCAATGACAAGGACTATGGTGGTTTTGGCAGGAGTCCTTAACCTGGTAGATGAAAGATAAGAGCCGGATCTGGGAGGCAGGTAAGGGTTCCTGGAAGATAAGGAGCTAGCTGGCTAGATTGACCAAGGAGGCAGAAGGGAGAGCACCCAGCGAGGAGCAGCGTGGAGTGAGACATATGAGTGAATGTGACCCGTTGAAGGTACTGAAATCTGTTCTATAGCTGGAGTGTGATGTGTGTGTAGTGAAATAGCTAGAAATGAGGTGGCAAAACAATGAGGGATTGTTATGCCATGCTAAGGATTTGGGATTATATAGTGAATTTTAAGCAGCCACTATTCCTGAAAAGTTTTTCTCACCAATTTATGGAATGCACATATGCATCTTAAATTTAAAAAAACACAGAAAATATGAAGAAGAAATAAAAATCACCTTGAATCTCATTAACTAAAAATGATTACTGTAATACATTTTGGTATATTTCTAACCAAGTGTATTTCTATGCATAGATATGGGCGGAAAGCATGATCTTATTGCAAAGTATTGTATTGTTTATGTCCTGCTTTTTTTGATGTTAACATTGTGTGTCAGCATTTTTCAGGCCTTGCCATTAAAAATTCTTTGAGAATTTAACTACTATATCTAATTATACTTAAATGCCTCATAATGGATTAAATTTTAAGTTGCTTGCATTTATCACTATTATAAATAATATTGTGTTAAACAGTCTCATTTGTAAACTTGTAGTCATGCTTGCCTATTTCCTTGGGATTTGTCCAGCCATGTCAGTGGTTGCCTTTAAAGTAGGGATGTGATGGATTCAAGTGTGAAAAGCCAGTGTGACAAAGTGTGAAGGGTGGATGGGAAAGAGATGATCTGGAATCAAGCACAGGAAAGATGTTTGAGCATTTAGACTAAGTATGAAGTTAAAAACCTACATTCTAGCAGTAAAATCAGAGAAGAGATAGTAATTATTCTTCAGATGTTTGCCTTTTTTTTTTTTTTGCATAAAACTTTCTTTGAACTTGAATGAAGCAGTTGGCTTTTTAAAAACATTAATTGAGGGGTTTATGGACCTCTAAGTTAGCTGTAGTGGATAGGGCAAAGAAGGTCATGTCACAATGGTTACCAGTTCTTCAAGTAGGAAATACCAAGAGGAAAAAATAGATTTGAAGGCTTGTCTTAGGGAGAGAGAATTTATGAGTTCAGTATTAGGTGTATGAGGTAAAACTGTCAGGAAATTGTTTATGAATTGATCTAATAGCTTAGGGGGGAGAGATCAGAGCAGGATGTGAGAGCCATCCACACAAAGATGGTGGTATTGACACCCTGGACATGAAAGTAGGCCTAGAGACCAGGTGTTTATGAGAAGAATACTTGAAACATAACCCGGGAAACCACTTACTCCTAAGGAGCAGACAAGGGGGAAATTAGAGAAGGAGCGATGAGGTTAAGTATGAAGGAAACCAGAAGACTATGGTGTTGAGGAAATCAAGAGAGACAAGAATTTCAAGCAAAAAGTCATCAAACTGTCAAATGCTGTAGAAGACAAGCAAGAAAAGGACTGGAGGGTATCCACAGGAGCAATTTAAGTCACCAAAATGTGGAGAGAGGAAATCCCTAGGAGTTGTGAGGCTGGAGGCCATACTGTAGACTTCCAGTGAGAAGTAAGGAAGTTACTCCTTCCTTGGAATTACTTCCAGTGAGGAGTAAGGAAGCTGAAGGAGTAGAGTATTCATGGGCTTTTATAAAAATAGCTTGTTGGCAAGGGCTAGAGAAGGCAAGGGGAGAGCTGGAGCAAGGTGGGCAGTGAAAGCTGTGTTTTCACTTCTTAATTATATTGAACAAGGAATGCTAGATTTGCAAATAGTTGTGACTTCCATTATTTCTACAACATTTTATATCTGCCATGTTTAGAATTCTTTTATTGGTGATTATTTTTGTGAACATAGTATTGTCGGTCTGAGCTTCCAACAAAAGCATCATTGCACGAGCTCCTAGCATCTTACTTCAAGATATTTTTAAACAGATCAGCACCTTCATCTTTGCTCCCATGGTCTCATTTGGTTTTAATGACCTCCTGCTCTGATTTTAAACTTCAACAGGCTAGTATTTGAAATTGCAGCTTAATTTAAAGCTATAAAATCTAAGTTTTATCCTTAAAGTTTGACCTTTACCTGAAAAATTGGTCAGAAATGGTAAATGTTTAAATGCTGCAGTTTAGAATGTCTTTATAGTGTTGCCAAATGCTGTAATTCTAACAAGCTCTAATTAGAAAGAGAAAAAAAAAATCAAAGGGTGATGTCAACCAGAATCAAAGTGAACCAGAACAAGAAATGCTTTTATTGGTAACAGAACATTAGCAACGTGTGATATAGTCTTATTCACTTCCTTTACTAACTATGAAAATACTGCAGGCCGTCTCTAGGGGATTCAGACAGTCTTATTGAACACATAATCATGTTGATAGGTGTTTCTCATTGGTAATATGATGCTCTTTGGGACTGCAGAAAATTATTTATTTTTACAGATATGCTAACTGATTCTTGGCTTTGAAAAAACAATGTGACAAATGTTCCTAATGTAGGAAGAAATGGATAGTCAATGCAATACATCCACGGTTTCTTGTTTACAGTGAATTAGCCTATTTTTGAATATTATGTCTCTCAACACAATTGCTTTAAAGATGTTTTGAATCTTTTTTATTGGGGATCACTGTGTTATAATAGAAAACAGTTATCCATGTACATGAGAAGATATATACATATATATCAGTATGTGTGTGTGTTTGCCTGTGATTGACCATGCTTTATAAAGAACCTGGCTATCTTTCACTTAAGATGACATTTTACCTGTCTCTAAATTAAGATTTTACTGAAATTCTTGGTTCTTTCTGTTTTCTGTTTGCTTTCAATGAAGTTCAGTATGTCTTTTAACTTTATCTAGACCTTCTTCTTCTTTATCCTGTCTAGAACCTTTAGGCCATTCTTTTAATCATTTCTTTCACTATAATTTTCAACTTTCTTGCTTTTTGATCTCTTGTTGAATCTAATCCAGTGTGCCCAGGCTCAATCAAATCCTTTGACATCTTTGTTACTATACCTGGGCTGCTGAGCACTGGGAGTTAAGATTGACAACCAGGGCCTCCCTGGTGGTACAAGGGGTTAAGCACCACACTATGAAGCAATCCACAGCCTCTGCAGCACGAGTTCAATCCCCGGCCGGCCAGAGAGAAACCCACATGGCAAAGCAGACCTCTACTGACTTGCCCACTGCTCCCCTCAGTAGTGTATTTCAGTCAGTCTGCCTGTTCTGTTCCCCACTCTGCCTCTGGTGAATCCTCTCAGCCCCCACATCTCTGGCCCCCTGTACCCTAGCTCTTGTATGCATAAATAAATAAATCTTTAAAAAAAAAAAAAGACTTGACAACCAGCCTCCAATTTGTTAGGCCCTCAACACAACCTTAACAATTCTTGATTGTTTCCCTAAGCAGTTCTCCCCTTTATGGCTCTTCACCCCCATCCTCATTTTTACATACTTCCTCTTACTTCCTTCCTGATACCTGTTCCCTCAGTGTCAGAAAATAATCTTGACTCCTGTTTTATTGAGACCACCATGCAGGAACTTTTGAACATCCACTTCCTTTCTACCACTACTACCAACAATTTTTCCAACCCATATCACCTTCTCTTTATTTTTTCTTGATTTTTCACTTCAACTTTGTTACCAGGATGCTTAGAAGAGTAGTGCCAACTTGCTTACCTTTCTGTTCTCTGGTTTTCATGCTAACTGCTGTTGGTGAGGTTAAACTGCTAAAATCTATGAGGTGGTTTTCAACCTTTGCCTTATTTGGTCTCTATGGCATTTAACATTATTGAGAATTACCTCTAAGTATCTCCCTCAGTTTTTATGAAAACCCCTCTCTGTTGGATTTTCTCCCATCTTTGGTTCTCACAAATTCAGTTTCCATTTTTCCCGAATAGGAACAATTTTAAGCATTGAACTTTTTTCAAAATAATTGTTGTGCATGCTTATAATTCAGTATTAACTGTACTAAAACTATAACATTATGTTATACAAATATATTAAAAATTCAGTATTATACTTAAAAAATAAGAAATACATTAATTATGTCTTGATTTCTTCTTTCCTAGTTAATGAAGGAGTTCCCCCTCCTAAGCATGTTCAACATCCATGAAAATCTTTTAGAAGCCCTTCTAGAACTACAAGCATATGCTGATGTTCAAGCAGTTTTAGCAAAGTATGATGGTAAGTCCTTGGGTATTTTATCTATGTGAATATTCCTCTCTTCTTGATGTATTTCAGTAATTAGATTGGAGGGTTCATTTCAGATAGAGTAGCGCTTTGTTATCTATCCTCTGATCAAATTTTCACCTATAACTTTATGATGGTATTTTAGAAAATTTTAGAATTTCCTGATTAGTGGGGCCAAAAAATGTCAAGTAGCCTGTCCTCTATTTCACTTCTTCCCTCCCAATAGGTTCCCCTTGCATTTTCCCTGTCAACAGAGTTATGCTTATTCCGCTTTATTACCTCTGGAACTGAATCACTCAGACCCTGTGCAGACAGCTTGTTCCATGTTGAGATAGCACTGACCATTCCAGTTTCGGCTATACCCATCAGTGGACTGCAACAACTACCAGTTGTTCATACTGATTATTTGAGAAAATAGAGAACAGCTAGTAGCACTTCTATAGCTCTGTGGCAAAACCCAGTAGAAGATTGAAGATAAAATCATGATGTCACTTCCATCTCCTCCTCACTAGAGGAATATCCCATGTCTTCATGTGAGGGACTTTGAAATGCCTTTGCTATACTAGTTACTCAAAAGTAAATATTTGCTTGTAAAATGCATGTTAGGGAGTGATTAGTTACATTACATGATCATTTTCTACTTTATAAAATATTTTTAGTAAGCATCTTAAGTGCTTTTAAAGAATTATTTGGGCCACTATTTCCAGGAATTCATTTAACATATAGAGCAAGCAGTATAATTTTGGACACATCATCCTTCATAAGGAATACCTGAAATGGACTGGGGTTTTAACTCTCTGAACTTGGGGGAACTGAGGCATTGTGAGACTGTTTTGTTTTGTTGATTTTTGTTCTAATTGATGGAAACTAAAAGCCCTCCATCAGCAATGGCATCACTTGGCCTGTGCGAACATGAGTATCCTGTGTAAAAAGATATCAGCTACCTAGTATGGAACTGATTTGAGAGAGAGAGAAAAGTATTTGTGGTGTACTTTATAGTAAACAAAGTAAAGACTGTTTGGCCTTCACATCAGCACACTTTATGTTCTCTGTTTATATGTTGGAATCTCACTATTTGACTGACCTTGGAAATCTAACCCGTGAGGCTACCTCCTAGGCTAACTGTTCATGCATGAGGGTTTTTGCTACAAAAGGAGCCCAGGCCCATTCACATGGGTTCAGGTGGCCATTCACTTTTTTATGTGCCACCCTAGCCATCAAAAAACATAGCAAGGTTTTTTTTTTTCATTCCTAATGCCGACCTGTACTTAACCTGTTATATCAAGACTTAAGAAAAAAGATTTAACCAATAGGGCCTTTGGGATCTCAAGTCTCATAAGGCTCCTTTCATAAATATCTCAGTTCATTACAGCAATCATCAGCTTTGTGTTATAAGACTGATTGTAAAATAAAGAAATGAACTCATTTGGAACCTTCTGTTGCGTCTATCTATCCCATTGCTCAGTCTCTGTTCCATAACAACCAAAAGCTGATTTATTAGATTCTGATAGCATATGTTCACATTATTTGTTACAACAGCCTGTCCCACCCTCCACTAAAACTTGGCTTGCACTTTGCAAAATTCCTTTGTTGCAAATGGACAAACTCACCATACCAAGGCCCTTGTGTTGAGCTTTGTTTATGTTGTGTACCTGGCAACAGAGATGATGTTCTTATTCATTATTCATGGAAAAAGAGCCTCATTAGTGGCAGGACACATACTGCTGCTGAGCTGCCTTGTTAGGGGTTTTGAGTTCAGCAGTTGTCAATAGACAGCAGATGACCTAACATCAGCTGAATTCTGGAGGGTGTTTTGGTGCAGACTTGGCTGAGGCCAATGTCATTTACAGTAGAAATATAATGAAGTGGCTGCTGAGGTTACTGCTCTTGAGATGTGAGCTGCAACCACATAACACTATTTAAAAAAAAAATGCCTCTTATTTCTCACCCTATTCCATAAAATGGACTCTTTCAAGCACACCCTTGTCGCTTTTCCTGGTGACCCAAAGGACCTTGACTGAGTTGTTGCTTCATTGTGTGGCCCTGTGCTGGGAAGTGGGCACTTTCGAGGGCTTGGAGTACAGACAGCAGTTAGGAGTGCTCTGTTCTTTACCCTGGTTTAGATGTCATCATTCTAATCCAAGGAGATGCTGGAGACAGCCCTCTGAATCCCAGCCTCTTCAGCCCTCCCACAAAGCCACACCCAAGGCAAGATGATGTTATCTTTGCAAATGGGAATGCTCTGGTTGGGTAGCTCTTTTTTGGATGGTTTATGGGTGGAGCAATCCTCCTTTATTACATTTACTAGGTGACTGAATTTTTTAAATAGTATGTTGCAAAGTGACACAGTGGGATTTGTGATGCCTTTTTGACCTTTGCAAGAAGGATTTAGAAATATGGCAAGACACAAAGGGAGAAAAAACATGTTCTGAGGAAAAGAGGAAGGTAAAATGTACTCCCTGTGCCTCATTCTTCTTCACCATTTTTTGGTTTTGTTTTGAGGTTTAAATTAAGAGACATTCACAAACTTCTTTTATAGTGAAGCACTTTGGAAACCCTGGATACCTAGTAGGATTAATTAGTCACAACTCCATGTAATCCATAGTCTAATTTTGATTTTGCTCTTGAGATAACTTCTCATGGCCTGTTGTTCTAGCCATTGGTCCAAAATGCTGTCTTGCCACCCTCGGGAGTTTTCACACTCTTCTTTCAATTTGTTAACCAACATTATGGGTGGGCAGTTTTATCCAAGTGGTTGGTCCTCATTTTGGAGTGTCCTTCACTCAATGACTAAGATAGAAGTAGTGGCAACAGGTATCATTCATTGAATTTTAAAATGTGTCAGGGTTGGACATGTTTGTAAACTCTACATGGATGAATTCATTTATTTTCACCACAAGCACACGAGGTAGATATAATTAGTCCCATTTTATAGTTGGGCTAACTGAGGCAAAGAGAAATTAAGTGACTTAATATGTCAAAATAAAGCCTAAGCTATCAAAGTGAAGCCCTGGTGATGTTAAGTTATGAGAGAAAAAAGATAAAAATTAGACCAGTCTTCACTCAGTAAGCTGTTAATTCTACAAGGAATGGAAAGCCAGAATAAAAACTGAGTTGGTCTTACTCCAAGCCCATGGCCTTAACCATCACATTCCCACTGTCTCTCTGTTGGCAGTATATTTTTATTGTTTTAATTAACACCATTCTTGTCATTATTAGGTACAGTTTGCTGAGCACCTACCTTATGCCAAGCACACTATATCCATTACCTGTCACTCTCATAACCTTGCACGGAGGTAGTTATTCCATTTTACCAGATGCAAAAACTGAGGCTTATGTAACTTTTAAGACCACATTTCTAGAAAACTGCAGAGCTAGTATTCAAGTTCAGGTCTCTGATTCTCAAAACCCATATGTTTATCATCAGTGTAAGCCTTGCTAAAGTGACTTGCTCTCCCTCTCTCACTCTTACGAAGACAGAAATTAGAAGGGCTGGAGCCATGGTGCAGAATTTCAGTGATGCCAAACAGTCTTTTAAGGTTCCTTTTAAAATTGTTCTTTTAGAACATACCTAGATTTGGTTATTACTCTGAAACTGTCTTCAAAATATGACTTTCCATCTTAAATCCATTTATACATGGTTTTTTTTAGTCACAGAGGGGATCTGATGCATGGTATACATTTAATTTGAGATTTATCATCCTTTTTTATCCAATAATATATTTTCTATAAAGAAATATTTTCAATATCATTAAGTCATCAAACTTCTTTTAGAAGCCATCATAAAAGTTGTTGTAAGCTTTGCGTTGCCTACAAAGAAGCTTTTAGGCCACCTAGGTTGAAAACTTAAGTCTCACAGATTAGGGTAGTAAAGTAGAAAAGAATTCATGTGTTTCTTATTCATTCTTTTTGTCAGAAGAATCTCATGGAGTAAATGAATGTGAATGTGAGTGCTACAATGTACCTTTGGGAGTCTGGTTCTACTGTCTCTAGTTAGTGATCCTGTGGGCACCAAAGGTATCCAGACACAGAGAAGAGTGGTGCTGATGGGTACTGGCTATGGTCCAGTCTGTGCAGTCAACCCTCAACTCCAACTTTCACGAGATGACGGAGCTTCAGCAAATTAACTGTCCAAGCCTTGGTTTCTTTCTCTAGCAATGGAATTAAGGCTTAGGAAAGTGAGCCAACTTGCCTGAGATCACATAGCTGGTCATTTGTTGTGAGGATTAAGGTATTTAATCCACATTAAGTGTTCAGAACAGCATGGAGCCCATAGTGGGATTTCAGTAACTATTAGCCATTACAGAGAACCAAGATTATCTCTCCTGAACTGCGCAGCACTGTTCTCGATCAGTTGTGCTCAAAAGGAAAGCCATATATGAAATGCCAGTGAAAATTAGAGATTAAGACCTCAGCCTTGTGTCCTCCTTCAAAACAAGCAGTGTTTTAACCTTAATTAATTATATATCTAACAGGACACAGGTATAGATATTTGATAAGAACAGAATGCATAGATCTATGTACAAACAATTCTTAAACTTTTGGAAAATTGAAAAAAAAAATAATGCCAGGGATTTTTACTCCTAATGAAAAGACCAGTTGTTTCAGCCTTGGGGCAGTTTGCAATAATGGACATACAAATGTCAGCTCTTTTTGGATATTTACTCCATTAGGTCATTTAGTGATTGCTCTAAATTTGGGGGCAGAAACTTCCCCGTGTGGGACAGCTGGTCTTTTTTATAATCATGAATGCTAATATAAATGTAACAACTCTATCAAGACTATTTTTACTGATGCCATCGTGCCTCTCCTAAATTAGCATTATTATCTGTCATCTGGTAATGTGCAGAGGGTACATTTTTAAGAACAGGACATATTGGGAGAAATAGTTTCAACTCAGATTGAAAACAGAAGTTCTGAAGAAAGCATTAGAGAATCACGCTATGTTGAGACTATTCAGGGAATAAGCTTTTTGCTGATAGAGTTTTGCAGTC